TACATGCTCTTAGATACTGAACAAGCTGAAATTAACATGTTTATGAACTCCCATATGCATGAGTAGATTCTTGACCCCGATATTACTTTTCATGTTACATCAAATAAATTATGGTTTGATCATATGCATGAGTCTAATCATAGACATGTAGTTGCATGGGACGGAGTCGCATATAAGAACACATGTGTTGGTAATATGACTGCTAGGTTTGATGGTGGCTTTGTGCGCAGACTTAATAAAGTTAGGTACATTCCTCATATGGGAAAGAATTTAATTTTCGTGGGAGAGTTGGAGCACAACAGGTTTCACTGGTGCACTTAGTGATGGAGTGTTAAAAATGTTCAAGGGAGCCCTTAGATCCTTTAAGGCTATTGGGAATAATGGCAATTAGATCACATATGTCAGAGCAATGGATGGTTTAAATTTAAGTTTTACTATCACTGACACTGATCACACACAAAAGTGGCATAATAGGTTAGCTCACGTTAGTGTTAAGAGACTTAAGTTCTTTAATGATAAGGGTGTGTTTGGTAAGGATTGAGTGTCTAACATGCTATTTTGCGATCATTTTGTGCTTGGTAAACATTGTAGGATGTCATTTGCATGTAGCACACATATGACATCTAGAGTATTTCATACTGATTTGTGCGGTTCAAGGAGCAATCCGACTTTTGGTAATAACAAATATTTTCTATCTATTATTGATAATTTCTCTAGACGTGTGTGGATTTATTTGATGAAAGATAAATATGAGATTTTCATGAATTTTAAAAATTGGAAAGTTAAAGTTGAGAACTAGATAGGTAAAAAGGCAAAATATTTGCATACTGATAATAGTTTCGAGTTTTGTAATACTATATTTGATAATATGTAATGAATTTGATATCACTAGACATGGGACTTGCCTTACACTCCCCAATAAATTGGAGTAGCTGAAATGATGAATCGTATTTAATAAAGTTAGATGCATGATGTCAAGTTGTAGTATGCCCAAGTTAATTTGGGGCAAAACTGTTATGACTGCGCGTTATTTGATTAATATGACTCTTTTCGTGGCATTAAATGGTAATACTTTGTATGAGATTTAGTTTGGTAAATTTGTTGATTATTCTAGGACCTTTGGTTGTACTATGTTTTCTCATTAAAGTGAGAAAAAACTAGAACCTATAGTTAAGAAGTGTGTCTTCTTAGGCTACCCTGAGGGAGTTAAGGTATATATGTTATGGGATAGAAGCCAGAAAGGCGTGAGTATTATCGTAAGTCACAATGACACATTTAATGAGTCTGAAATACCTTGTAAAAAGAATGAGGAACAACAAGAAACTATTAGGGAAGAGTTTCCTATTAAAGTGGAGTAAGTGAGTGTCAACATCCCCATTACCTCAAACAAGGTGGAGAGTAATACAAAAAATCAGTAGATATAGAATTAGAAGGTGATGAGAAAGTTGTTGAAGGTAACCCTATCGACCAAAACCCTCTAGCTTGGTGTGTCAACGAAAGGCAACCTGGCTCGCGAGCCGAAACTCCTGGCTTGAGCTCAGCTCGGGTTTTTTTGAAAGCGGGCTTTTTTTTGCCCGAGCAAATCTTAGCAAAAACTTGGCCAAAAAATTAAGGCTCAACCCGAGTTGTAGAGCTTGGTCAAGCGAGCTGACTCAATATTTTTCTCCCTTTAAGCTGCTGGTTGAGCTTCTTCAACCAACAGCAAATCTGCTGCCTGTTAGCAGCAATCAATTACCAACAAGCAGCATTAAAGGCAGTAGATTTAGTTTTTTCATTTTTTATTTATTTTGTCGGGTCGACCCGTGTGGCTAGACGGGCCTGGCCATTTCAAGCCAAGTCCTCAAAATGAGGCTCGGCTCGATAAGCGGCCCAATCCGCCTAGTCCGATTGCCATCCCTTCCTTTAGTTGATTATCAGTTAGCTAGAGAGAGAGAGAGGAGACCACATAGGAAACCTTAGATGATGTCTGACTATACCATAGCCTATGTTAATTATCAAGAACTAGTTGATAAGGAGCTAAATACCTATGAGGAGCGAAAAAAGTAAGGAGTGGCTAAGTGCCATGAAAGAAGAGATGAGTTCTTTTGTTAAGAATCAAACATAGGATTTAGTTCCTAGACATAAAGATAAATCCATAGTAGGATGCAAATGTATTTATAAAATTAAGGAGGGAACGACTGAGAGTAAGCCCGTGAAATATAAGGATAGATTAGCAGCTAAGAGGTACACACAGAAGAAAGTGATAGATTATAATGAGATCTTTTTGCAAGTTGTTAAGTATACCATTATTTGGATCACACTTTCTTTTGTTTCTTACTATGATTGGAACCTTGAACAACTTGATGTCAAAACTGCTTTTTTGTATGATGATCTTGATGAAATGATTTTTATGACTCAACCCAAAAATTTTAAAAGTAAGTCTAAACCTGACTATGTGTGTTTCTTAATGAAATCTCTTTATGGGCTAAAACAGTCTCGACGTTAGTGGTGTAAAAGTTTGATTCGTATGTGTTGTCTATTGTTCTTAAGAGGAATGAGTTTGACCATTAACAGTATGTTGTTGACATTGTGTAACAAATACACACACTCTTTACTAGTCCGTGTTGTAGGTAATATTATTTGTAGGTAATACACACACTCTTTACTAGTCTGTATTGACAAAAGAACAATCACCTACTAATGATGAAGAAAGAGAATTTATGAATATTATTTCTTCAAATGTCATTGTCTCTATCATATACCTTATGATTTGTAATAGACTTAATTTGACTTTTACTATGAGTGCGCTAAGTAGATACATGTCTAATCCTGGTCCCAAACATTGGGAAGCAACAAAGTAGTTGCGTTGAAGGGCATTTTTTATACAAGGTTAATTTATAAATCTTCTAATGAGGATGTGAAACTTAACAGATGCTAATTATAGTGGTAGCAAAGATAATAGGAAATTTACTTCCTCTTATGAGTTTACTTTGTATGGCTCTTGCATGAGTTGGAAGTCTCAATTTTAACATATAGTTACTTTATCTACCATTGAATCTTAGTATATTGCTACTATAGAAGCTATTAAAAAAACCTATGTGGTTTAGAGGTTTTCCTAAAGAACTAGGTGTTTTAAGTGACGATGTGATTGTATATTCTAATGGTTAATCTGCTATACTTCAATGCAAAAATGCTAAATTTCATGAACACACTAAATATATAGATGTTAGGTTGCATTTTATTAGAGATATAATATCCCAAAAATTGATAAAATTTAAGAGAATGAATTCAGATTATAACTTTGCAGATATGGGCACTATGGTGCTAAAGTTTAAAAGCTATCTTACACTTCTAAGCATTGGGAAAAGTATGTGACGTTTTAATTTGTTTGAAATCACATTGTGCGACTACTAAATTGTTTCTTTTCATTCTTCCTCTATTTTTTTTTTTTTTTTTTTTTGCAGGTGTATTTGCATAAGGTGGAGGCTTGTTAGGTACTTGATATCAAATAAACTCGGGACGGCAATGAACAATCGGATCAGATTTTGAGCTAATTATTGAAAATTGTTTAACGATTGACCCGAGGAAACAATTGACAACCCATAAAACCTAGACGGGCAGAGAATCCCACACATGATAATTAGGGATCGACCCATTTAATATTTACTTGGGCACTTGGGTGACCTACCCATCCACTATAAAAGTAGAGCCTTGTCCACCGTTGAGAGAAATAAAAGATACATATACAGCTTTTCTCTTTGGCTCTTGGTTGTGTGATCCTTTAGTAGTTTTCCCTTGTGCGTCTTCCTTGAGCTTTTTGGCAACCATTAGCGGCATGTTTTTCCGACTGCGTGACCCTTTGGTAGCCGTGGTTTGCTCTTGCCTCGAATGCCTCCTTGCTGTCTTTCCCAGTTCTCTATGACAAGGGCATGTGGCTGACTCGTATCGACGTCCTTTCTCCAACCTACTACCTTTTGGCCTTCTTTGCAATTGTTGTTCCTACTTTGTTTCTTCGTGCTTACTGGGATGGTTTTTTGGTGATTCTAGTGGGACTCTTGGATCTAATTGAGTTGTGGTAACTTGTTGCCTTGTGTTGGTTGATCTAAGCCACATCCCTCCATCTTTGATTCTGAACGCAGATTTGGAAGAGAAGTGTTATTCTTGCATTTCCATTTGGTTAAGTCGATTTCTAATTTTTGTTATTGATAATTAACTTTATGTTCAATTATTTGGCTCGTTAAGAAGCATATTTTAACACAACACATTTGAGTCTTCTTTATTCGCAATAAATTTGACTAATTCATTTAAGAATATTAACATAATATGTTGATATATCATCTTGGATTCATAAAAGTACCAAACTCTCTTCTCATTCTTCACTCTCTCTTTATGAAATCTATGGAAAACCCAAGAACTAATAGAAAATCAACTTTCTCTTATGAGTTTACTTTGTATAACTCTTGTGTTAGTTGGAAGTCTCAATTTCAACATTACTTTATCTACAATTGGATCTGGATCTGAGTATATTATTACTACAGAAGCTATTAAAAAAGCTCTGTGGGTTAGAGGCCTGCTTAATGAACTAGTTGTTTTAAGTAACAATGTGATTGTATACTCTGATGTTTAATAAGTAATACTTCTGTGCAAAAATCCTACATTTCATGAATGCACTAAACATATAGATATTAGATTGCATTTCATTAGAGACGTAGTATCCCAAGAATTGATAAAACTTGAGAAAGATAGTTCAGATTATAACTCTGCAGATATGTGCCCTGAGCTGCTAAAGTTTAGAAGTTGTCTTACTCTTCTAAACATTGGGAAAGGTATGTGACATTTCAATTTGTGTCGAAATCACATTGTACAACTGCTAAACTTGTTTCTTTTTTTTCTTTTTTCCTTTTTTGCATGGATCAGGTATATCATGGCAAATTCTTCAGAAAAAATTGTGTCTTCCATAATGGAATCTGATAAGTGAGATTTTAGTTAAGTGTTTATATAGTCTTCTTATGTCCGAAGAAATGATTTATCGAAATAATGAGTCACCATTGATATTAACACATCTGAGATCGCCAAATCATCGGGAGTTCCTCTATTCAATCATTTTCCTTCTTCTTGTTGCTGGATATCTTGTTCGTACACATCTTCTCTTTGTTTCCCGAGCCTCTAGTAAGTTACAGAAAAAGTTCAGAAATGTCAAATCTTTGATGATTCCATCATCCATGACTGAGCTGCAAAAACTTCTAGATAGGTATTCTACATCTGAATCGAATTCTTTCTGGTTAAAGAATCTCTTTCTAGTTGCTCTGGAACAATTAGGATATTCTCTAGAAAAAATACGAGGTTCTGCTTTTGGCGGCAACATGCTTGGTCCCGCTTATGGGGTCAAATCAATGCGTTCTAAACATAAATGTTTGAATATCAATCTCATCTATCTCATACCAAATCCCATCAATTGAATCACTATTCGTGACCAAAGATCCTGTTTTATCATCAATCCAATCCCTTTTCACATTTTTTCTTTTCTTATCAATGAATAGATCTCTTTAATTGTATGGCTTAGATATCTTTTTTCTCAGGTGTATTTGGCATCAAGATGGAGATTTGTTAGATATTTGACAAACAACTTTAACTTTTTGTACAACTCAAGGGTCTATTATTGAAAGACAATGGATGCTTTTGACAGCAACTTTAAATTTTTGTACAACTAAAGTGTGCTCGTGGTTTCAAGGTAGTGGATCTTTTGTAGCCTTTGAAAAGAAGAACACGTTATAATCTTATATTTTTAACAAAATCGGCTACGTAATTAACACGCCTGAAAAATGTTGTAAACTAATTTTTTCCTTGAATATCTTTAGGAAATTTATCTACAAATTCAAGACTTCTTTGAATTGGAGTAAGTGTTCCTAGATGGATATGATGTCCTAAGAACCTTATACGTGTTTGACAAAGAACAACATTTTTTGCTGAGACCGTTAAACTATTGTTCTTAATGTCATGAATAAATATATTGAGATATTTGAGCTATTGTTCTAAACCTTTAGAATGAATTAGAAGATAATCAATATAAACAATAATAAAGTTTTGACAGGAATTAAAAATATCGTTCATAAATTTTTTTAAACTTGTAAGAAGCATTTTTTTTAGACAAAATGGCATAAGATTCCGTTCATATTTGCCGAAAGGAACATTGAATGTAATTTTGTACTTATCTTCTTTCTTAACTTAAATCCATCAAAAGCCAGACTTCATTTCAAATTTAGATAAAATGGTTGCTTTAAGTAATGCTTAACAGATCTTTCTTTTAAGGTAATAAATATCTGATCCACTGAAGAGCTTTGTTAAGAGGCTTATAATTGATTACAAGTCGCGGAACACCATTTTTTGTTCATTTGAATATGACGAAATTTTGCAGGAATACTAGATTTATGAAAATTAGAATTCTAATGAAGTGAGACATGTTCCTTCCTATCCCAAAAGGCATTTGGAATGGTAGAACATATTTCACTCTCAATTCTTTTTTTATATGAAGAAATTTCTTTCAATAATTGAAGGGTTTTGTAACTGTTCTTCAATTTTAAAGAAACTTAATATATCTTTTTCTTAAGGTTAATATAATTGACAATTTTTGAAATAGATGTTTTTTTTAAAGAATTAATATCCTTATAAGAAGGATGATTTGTAAATCTGAAAAATATTTCTTGACCAAAAATATTTGTAGTAAGATCTTTAGAATCAGCTTGAAATGGATAAATTTGAATAATAAATTTAAAATGAGTTCCAAGAATTATTTCTTGATCTAAGTCTTTGATTAAATAAAATATATTTTTGAAACATATATATGAATTGTAAACATGAGCTTTTGAAAGTTTATATTGAATACTAAATTTTTTTCCACTAGCAACTGCTGAATAGATTTTCCAAAATCTTTAGTAGGGATTAATCCTTCCTTAATACAATTTTGATCAGCTCTAGAATGAATTCTTTGTTGACTACTATGGTCATAGTACAATACCATTTTTTAAGTTGAATTCGGCTAATAACATTAATATTTTCTTCTTCAATTTGAGGAGTAGAATAAGAAGTATCTTCTTCTGAAAAAGAGGAAGAAGATAACTGATGAACATATTCTAATTCTAAATTTTTTGCTTTTAATAGCACAATTTCCATATGAACCTCTTTCATTTGACGTTCAATAATAGAAATTTGAGATTTCATTTCATTAAGTTTTTAATCTTACGGTGTTGAACCGTTTTAATATATCTTTCATAATAAAGGTGTTACTGAAGCTTTTGATGTAGAAGGTAAGAGATGAGAGAACTTTTTCTTTAATTGAGGATCTTCAATTTTCTCAATTACTTTTTGAATAAGTTCATTTTCTTTGGTAAGAACATTTATAATCTTACAACCTCAAACATATTTATTTTTTTTACCTAGAAGTTGACTCAAAATTTGAGCTTGTTTCAACGTCAAAATCTTCTTAATGTTCATAAATCTATGCTAAGTCAATTCAGATTCTTCATCAAAACAGGAATTAATTAAATCAAGAAGTTCAAATTTAACATCTTCATCGATTTGAAGATTATTAATCTTTCCCTTCATAGAACACTTTTTAGAATAATGACCTATTTGTTTACATTTCCAACAGGTAACATTAAAAAGTTTGAGAAACTTGTTTCTTTGAAAATTTAAGAGGATAATTTTGAGAAAATTTCTGTTTTTGAAAAGATCTTTTTCTAAGAAAAGAGGGAAAATTTTTCTTTTTCATTTTTGAAGATGGAGGAATGATTTTTTCAAAACTACATTGTTCGCAAAATGATTCAAGTTTTTTACTACTCTCTGATCTTTCACTTTTGAGTTTTGATTTGATTTTCATGTCGTTACATAATGCTAATCCTTCTTTATTAGTATAACTTATTATTTCACCCTAAGATAAAGAAATATATGGAATAGCATTGTTATTTTGACTTTTGATTGTATTTCTAACTCCTTCAGCAAAGCGTTTCAAATAGCCAAAAATAAATAATTTTTTCCAAAAGGATTGAAAACAATCTTTCATTAAAACTTTGGTGAGGAAGATATCTTTGTAATACTGAAAATCATGAAGTTTTGGACATGTTAAATTCATTAAGAGTTCGGAGAATCTTTCTTGTAATGAAATAGGATTTCCAATGAAATATTTGACAACGGCGACCAAAGAAGTCATCATGCCATCATTTTGTCCACTGGGTTTAGTGGCATTTATTACCTCATTGCAATCATTCTCAAAGAAGTAATTGGTCCACCATCCCTTTAATTGACTTGAATGTCCGATTATAATATTATCAAAAGCAGTTAGTTCATGAATATCACGAAGGAGATAAGTTCAATGGCACATATCCATATTTTCAATGTCTTGAATATTTGATATTCAGTCATTTCATCAATATTCCATTCAACTACCTCATCTTCATTATAAGTTGTTTGAGGTTTTCTTCTTTCTTCATATTGCATATCAGGAAAGGACAGTCTTGTATAGAAATTTGGTAATTTTAAATTTTTGACCATTTATTCTATTATTTTGAAGAGACTCATTTTCTTCCATAAATTGACGCTCAAGTTCTTCAATTGAATCTACAACATTAACATTATTCGATATGGATAATTTTGATAGTTGCTTCGCTATTTCTTTAATAACTCTTGACTCTGCTATGAGTTTTCCTAAACCTGGTTTTGAAATAGTTTGACCTATTGATTTAACGATTGAATTTATTAGTTTTTTAACTTCCTTCATTTGATTATGGGTTATCCTCAATGCTAGATATTTGGCTTGACATAGATTGTAATAAAATATTTGGATAGTTGTTCTGTGATTAAATATTTTTTGATGTCTTTAGCTGTAGTTCTAGATTCTTCTAATCTCTCAGCAGAGACTACTTGAGAGGATACGGAATTATATTAGTGTTTCCAGGGGCGAACGTAGATATTTTGAATTAGTGGGGCACAATTAAACTTGCAAAAGAAAAATACAAATTTACGTTTATACAAATACCACTATATTTGTCATCATTTTTAACTCCAACATCATTTTCATAACTTTTATCTCGAATATTCCTTTCATTAACATTGTGATCTAAAAAAAACGCATATTTACATTGAAATTATTTTTCCATCATATAATTAATTCAAGTGAAAAATACAAAATCACAACAATTCTAAATGTTAAATTATCAAATGCATTCCAATCCAAACAAAGAAAAAAGTCACAACAAGAATCCATTACCACAAAATTGCCAAAACAAGATAGAAATTGGAGCACTTAAATAGATCCCTAATTCTATTTCATAAGAAACTACAAAAGAAATCATAAAAAAGAAATAATTTCCCGAAAAATGAGGCATATAACTTTTGATGAATGAACCTTTAAAAAATTAAAACTTCATTCAAAGTTTTCAAATTTTCCGGACTGGAGTTCTTCTGCTTCAAGTCTGATTTTTTTTTTTTTTTGTATCTGATCAGAAACAGATAAAGAAAAAACTCCCATCTAACATGTATTATTTATAATATATTAAAATATTATATCAAGGGAAAATCATTATTTGTACGATTTTAACCTCCCTAAAATTCAATTATTTCAATAATACCTTACTTTTCGATTTTCGATATATAATAAATACTACATAATTATTGTCATTTATGAAATTTGTGTTTAATTCTCAATTAATTAACATTCACATTAATCTATATTCAATGAATTTACACTTGATGAATCTTAAATTACATGAATCTAGAGTTATTACATATGAATTTATTCATATTCACGTATCTAGAAATTTTAATAGGTGTTTAAATTTATGTATTAATAATTAATTTTTATTTATCAAATGTAACATAAAAAAAAATTGCCCATTTACAATATTTCATCACTACAAAAAAATTTGAATCATAGAAATTGAGTTTTGAGAGTATAATTTTTTTCTCTTAAATTTCTATGTTAAATTTTATTTTCTTTAATTCATTTGAAACTCATCAAATCCTCCAACAAATTGATACCAAATATTACTTTTTACATCACTTATAAAGTAATTTAGAATAACGTTCAGTGTACGTTCAACTTTGAACTATACATTTATAAAAATGGTTAAATCAAATATTATCATGATTTAGAAGCTCGTTGACACAAAAAAATTATATCTTGGTATCATTGACTTGGACATCTAGAAGCTATAATAATATGTCGAATAATAATTAACTCACATGGATATCTTTTAAAGAATCAGACGATTCTTTTACCTAATGATTGTCCATATTAACTTGTTTGTAAGAGAAGTTAGTCATTAAACTTTCAACCTCAATGATCAATAATAAATTTCCAACTTTCTTTAAAAAAATTCATGGAGATATATGTAGATCAATACACCAACTATGTACACTATTTCGTTATTTTATGGTATTAATGGATTCTTCTACTAGATGGTCCAATGTCTGTCCATTTTCCACTAGGAATGTAGTTTTTGCAAGACTTCTTGTTCAAATCATAAAATTAAAAGCTCAATTCTCCCGATTACTCAATAAATACAATTTTTTTAATAATGCTGGTGAATTTAAATCAGAAGCATTCGATGATTATTGTATGTCAATTGGAATTGTTATTGAATATTCAGTTGCACATGTTCATACACAAAGTGGTTTAGCGTAATTATTTATTAAACTTCTAAAACTTATTGCTAGACCAATCGTTTGTTCATATAGGACTAACTGCTTATTACCACTATTCACCTTTTCAACTACCATTTGATCATAAACCTAATATTTCTCGCTTATAAGTTTTTGGTTATGCTGCAAGTCCCTATTTCACACACAATATACTAAAATGGGTCCCCATGAAGACTGAATATTTATGTTGGTTTTGATTTACCATCTATTATTAAGTTCTCAAACATTTAACTAGTTATTTATTTATTGTACATTTTGTAGATTGTCATTTTGATGAAATGACCTTCCAACTTCATATGGGTAAAACTGCTTCCTAAAAAGTAAGGTAAACTTTCTTAGAATTAAACAACTCTATTTCACTTTGATCTCTGCATCAATCAACGTGTGGAAGAGGTTGAAAAAATCATTCATTTGCAAAATGTTGCAAATCAATTACCAGATGTACTTGTCGAACAAAAAAAATGACAAAGTTATATATACTAACAGAAAATATTTCAACAAAAATTGATATCCCTAAAGGAAAATCTGATGTAGCAAATAAATCACATACACTAAAAACATGGTCAACCAATTGGATTAAAAGACTTTATACCTCAAAAAAATATATAAGAAAAAACCAACCGAAAATTTTGGAAGAAGTAACTTTAAAAAAGATTGATTAATCAAATGTTGAAAATATGATTTCTGAAAAATCACAAATGTCCGAAAAAAAATGAGATTTCAATAAATTATAGGAAAATTTGCAGCGTGGGTCAAGTGACCCACCAGGACCCACTATGGGTCCGCTAGTGAGTGTTTCCATGAAAACAACTATTTCTTGCATAGGAGGATATTCGGAATAAAAAGTTTGACCCAAAGGAGTTTTCTATGTTTTTTTTTTTTTTTTTTTTTTTTTTTTAAAATGATTTTTTTGAATTGAAGAAAAGGACCTCGGAAATTATTCGATGTAGAAGCTTTGTCAAAAAGTCCTTTAACGTGTCCATCAGGAAATGAAACAATTTGTTCAGGAATAGTCCTAATAGGAGCGGGATTTGGGATTTGAGCATTTTCAAAATCCCATTCAATTATCTAGATTGAAGATTCCATGATATTTTTTTAGGAATCATGGTACTTGAGTGAAGATGGCTAACTTCTACTAGAAGGCTTTTCCTCTTTAGGGGATGAGCAAAGAGCTTGAGTATTGAGTTAAGTATTCACAAGCTTATAATATATTCAATATATTACAGCGAATGCTTTCAAATGATCATCAAAGTCGAAACTTTTTGTTTGAATTTGAAGAGTTAGAACATTAAGAATAGCTCCATCGTTAAGAGTGATGGTAATAGCTGGGTAACAATTTGAGAAAATTGGATTGCTTTCAAGATTTGACTCTAAAATAGATAACAAATGATTTTCAAATTTGAGAAGTTTTTTTTATCTCTAATCATTAAAAGAATCGGAACCAAATCTAAACAAAGGTTTAACATCAATTTGAGCAAGTCCTGCATGAAGATATTTAAATCTTTTTCTGTTTGAATAGTATCTTTTGAAAATAAATTTATTTGAGTTGTTTGATTTTTATTCACTATAGTTCTGAGGGCAGGGTGGTCATTTGTAAGTTGGGTTGGATTCAGTCTATCCTGTAGCATTGCATCTACAATAATATGTCATTATAATTTCATTTTAATCTATTATGTCTTTAATTTCTAATTGGTTTAGGAGATATAATAGTAAAATTGATAGTTTTTCAAACACATTTCATCATGAAGAAGAATTAGATCAAGAACAAGCATTTGCATTAGATGTATTCATTTCTCATCCCATGGGTTCTATCCCCAGTCTTCAT